CTGCAAATGCTACTCTGGCCTACGTTCATGCTTTATATAGGGTATTGTTTTTCAGATCCTCACAGAAAAAGAGTAAAGGGACATCTTTGCCCCAAAGAGCTTACAGTCTATATTTAACATGACACATCAAGCGTCATTAAAAGACAAAAAGAGAAGGTATGAGAAAAGGTAACACTTACTCAACGAAGCATGCACAAACCTTAATGGTTCCAATAAAATGGAGCAGCAGTCTTTCTCTCTTCTTGTTCCATGATAGTGAGGGATAACTGGTGTTATTGGGGTTTATTTAATTTCTCAGGGAAAGTAAGGATGTTATAAAATGAGTCTGAAGACAGAGATACGTAAACATCCTGATGTGACCAAGGGAGTTCTACAATTGTGGGACCAACCACTAAACAAGCTTTGTCTCCAGCTCTCAGTCTTATTCTTGTTCTAGACCACTACGCTGTTCCTGAGAAATGCGGTTGTCATGGAAGGTTTGGTTATAGACAGCTGGGTGGTGCTTCAGACAGCTTGATCCCAGCCCATGGAGAGGTGTGAAGATTAGAATTAGGATCTTGAACTTGGGCCAGTATTCTATGGAGAACCACAAATAGCACGAGACCAGTTCTCCAAGACTGCACTGGCTCCTTCCTTGCTGCTTGTGGCCATTCAATCAGTTTATTTTGATGCATAAAGCTCAGTGTGGTTTGTTCTTCACTACTGGAAACACTGCCTCACAATCTATGTGATATCATGACAGATGAAGTTAGGGTGGGTCACACTTTAGGTCACAGTCCCTGAATCTGAACACTAGGGAACTGGAAGCCAGGCATCAATGGAGGGCCCTCAACTCTGGAATTTCCTCGCTCCATTATGCTGGTAGACAGAGTCCGTGAACCTGCAAGGTCTAGTGCAGTTAGCACAGCTGGGAATGAGACAGTCTGGGTTCTGTTCCTAACTGCCAATGATCATCATGTGATTCTGGTCAAATTATATTTTCTCTCTGCACCCCAGTCATCTCACCTGTAAAATGGGAATAAGTGATATTTACTCACCTTTTCTAAGTGCTTTGGAAATCTCACATTTCATGCTTAGAATTGCAAATCATCATTTAGTCAGGTGTTTTCAGGAAACAGGGATCTATTTTGGGGTTGGCATATGTTTACTTTGACAGTAGTTTAAAAAATTCACAATTTATTAAGAGCACACTGTGTGTGTGATAGGCACATTTTATAAATCCAGAAATAAAATAAATTTGATAAAACTCAATATGGGAGGGAAAAACTAGTATACAACTGAGCTTGAATGGTATGGATTTTTGTTATGATAATAGCAGTATGTAAGCACGCTGCTGGAAAAAAGTGATACAAAGGATAAGAATACTCATAAGGACTCAGATTTGGTTTTTATTTTCTTTTAAAGTTATCTGTAAAGGAATATTGGTTACTCTTTTACATTATAATAATATTTTACAAATATTTAGTGTTGCCTCTATAAAGGCTCAAGAAAAAAATTAGGAAAACTGTGGGTTACTAGATAGCAACAATAAGCCAAAACAAGCGTTTTTTGTTTGTATTATTTTAAAAAAGGAGAGAGGGAGGGATAACTGGCTAGAAAATAAATGCAATGGATTTTAGCAGAACTGATTTTTGTTACCATTAGATATTTTTAAAAGATTTCCTAACTCTAAAGGTAAATTAGTCAATTGCACATTCCAACTTGCTCCTAGTTAGAGAAGATGTTCTGCATATGACAATTACCAATTCATATAGCTGCTCATCTTTGTGTTTAAAGAGAAGAGCTAAAATAAATTACCTGTGTTACTAACACCACTTCAGACAATTACCAGCAGCAGCAAGATCCATGAGCACTGCCCTCCTAAAACACTCAAGTACCTACCCACAGACAGCTGGGATTCTTACCAGCCTGCTGTCCTCAGACCCTGACAAGTTGCTCCACCTTTTTATCAGACTCTGACTAGCAGATATCAGATTAATTAAAAACCTACTACCTTCTCAGGCTTTAAAAGAGGAGAGAAAGCTTTCATTGTTTGCCCCACTTCCCAGTCCCAGTGTCTATGGTCTGCTTTGAGGAAGCTGGAGGGAGTTTCTTCTAATCTAACCCACTGCTCTATTTTAGAGTGGTAGCCATGCTAGCCTGTATCAGCAAAAAAACCGAGGAGTACTAACAATTAGTCTCTAAAGTGCCACAAGCACTCCTTGGTTGTTTTTGCTCTTTTAGGCTCTTCTGCAGCAATTTATCAGTTTCCTAAGCAGCAGGGTGAAACTTCATTGTTTTTGTCAGTTTCATGATTGCTCACAGTATTTGAAGATTTTTCCAGTCCCACTTTCCTTCCTTGAGTCTGAATTTGTAAAATTTGTAATACATGACACATTTACAAAAGCTCTTGAACAATAGGTTTCAGAGTAACAGCCGTGTTAGTCTGTATTCGCAAAAAGAAAAGGAGGACTTGTGGCACCTTAGAGACTAACCAATTTATTTGAGCATAAGCTTTCGTGAGCTACAGCTCCCTTCATCGGATGTATACTGTGGAAAGTACACAAGATCTTTTTATACACACAAAGCATGAAAAAAAATGGGTGTTTACCACTACAAAAGGTTTTCTCTCCCCCCACCCCACTCTCCTGCTGGTACTAGCTTATCTAAAGTGATCACTCTCCTTACAATGTGTATGATAATCAAGGTGGGCCATTTCCAGCACAAATCCAGGGTTGGGGGGGGGGGGAACAGGTTACCTTGCATAATGACTTAGGCTTGAATAGAGACTGGGAGTGGCTAAGTCATTACGCAAGGTAACCTATTTCCCCTTGTTTTTTCCTACTCCCCCCCACCCCCCAGACATTCTTGTTAAACCCTGGATTTATGCTGGAAATGGTCCACCTTGATTATCATACACATTGTAAGGAGAGTGATCACTTTAGATAAGCTATTACCAGCAGGAGAGTGGGGTGGGAGGGAGGTATTTTTTCATGCTTTGTGTGTATAAAAAGATCTTCTACACTTTCCACAGTATGCATCCGATGAAGTGAGCTGTAACTCACGAAAGCTTATGCTCAAATAAATTGGTTAGTTTCTTAAGGTGCCACAAGTACTCCTTTTCTTTCTTGAACAATAGTTATGTAATATTCTAGGTGAATTCAATCTATAAAAATAATAAAGTGTTTTTTGTGAGCTCACATTACAGTGCATTAATTATTCCAATGACTATAGAGGCTTTTCCTTCTAAAAAGTGGTAAATTCAAATTGACAATCCTTCATGCAAGCCACTTTCTCCATCAGCCAACTAGGGCGTGGGTGGTATTTTTGTTTTACAAGTCTTACCTAATACATTATAAATATGCAAATCACTTAGATGTCTCTGAGCTATACTCATTCATCACAGGTCAGGTTTAGTGCTTGACTGAAACTGCTGTTGTCAGTTCTAGTCTCTGGCAGTTTTGAATAGAATACCATGGGTACTGTCTAGTTTTTCTAGTTTACTGAACTACAGTACAGATGTTAGGGGTAAGAAAAATTGTACAATTAAAATGTTTGCTGGTTAACATTCTTAGCTAAAGATAAAATAACTTTTAGTCCCCGAGTCTGCAGGGCTAGAACATATTCCTTTCCCAAAGTGACTAATGTGAGAAATGTTCATCCATGTGATATTAGCTAAAATATCCTACTGGGCTAGCAATTCTGCAGTATATATAAGGACCCGTTACCTGCTTTTCATGGGCTCATTTGTACATTGTTTCAGTCCGGTATTTTAACCAAATTTTCTGAAAGGCTGCTTCAGTTACATAAAACTGGATCAGCAGAGTACATTTTTCATTTGACTGTTTACTAAGATTGGCAACTGTCACCCACAGCAGATATATTTCCATGTATTTTAAATTTGCTGCTTCTTTTTAAAATTCAAACTAAGACTTTGGTTCTGTTGCCCTGTATTTGTTTCACATATTAGAAAGGAAGTTATCCCCCAGTTATAAACAGAGAAAATGAGTCACATCAACAGAATCTGTTCAACCAACATCTGACTTATTTGTCACTGTTTAAATATGGTTTGTGTTTTTAATTTTTGCAGAGTACACACGCAGGATCTTAAAAATACTTGCACTTAAAAAATAAATCAAGACTTTTATCCAATTAGTCTTTGCTACCCCCTATAAAGCTCCTTGTCCCAATTCAGTTCTCACAAGACACGCCCTGCCCCAGGGTCCCTCCGCAGGGCAGCTTCTTCATTGGGTGCAAGGTATTTAAACATGTCAAGAGAGCCGTGTCCCCATTTCCTGGTTAGCTTTGCGTTTTAAGAGGGGGCGCAGAAAGGTCTCACGAGACCCCCATCTCCCAACAGCTCTTGGGGTCTGCAGAAACGAATATAAAAAGTAAAACTTTCCAACTCTACCGCACCTCCTCGTGTGTAGGCTCGCAGAGCCCTGGGCAAGCCCTAACGATCCCGCACCACGCCTCGCAACTCCCCGCCGCAGAACAGCTCCACGATCCCCCTCAAGCCCGCCGGGAGCTCGCGCTCAGCGCGGACAGACGCACCCGCTCCCCGGGCGCTTCGCAGCGGCGCGGAGAGGCCAGAGAGGCGCCGCCGCCGCCGCCCCCGCCCCGGGCCGTGCGGGGCTCCTCGCGGGGGGCCAGGCCGGGCCAGCCGCGGAAAAGAAGGGCGAGAAAGTCCGCTCGCAACGCGGCCGCCGCAGCGCGGGGTCCCGGGGGTCCCGCCCGGGGGGGGGGAAGGGGCGCGGGCGGGGGCCCCGCCCGGGGGCGGGGGAGGGGCGCGGGCGGGGGGCCCCCCCGCGTCGCTGCCGCAAGCCACGGGACGCCCCCGCGAGGCCATGGAGGCACGGCTGGAGGGAGGACCGCGGCCGCGGGGGCGCGGCTGGGACTCCGCCGCCGCCGCCGCCGCCGCCCCCGAGCCCAGCGCAACGCGGCTCCTCCCGCGGGCTCGGCGCTGCGCGGGCTCAGGAGAACCCCCCCCCCCCGGGACCCGGGACCCAGCCCCCCCCCACCTGAAGCGCGGCGAGTCCTTCAGACACTCCTCGAAGTCCACGGCCACCTTCATCGCGGGGCGACGGGCAGCGACCCCGGGCCGGCCAGAGCGGGGCGGGGCGGGGCGGGGCGGGGCTAGGCGCGCGGGGCGGGGCTCATGGCGGCGCGGGGCGGCCGGAGCCGTTGCTACTACGCCTACACGGGACCGAGAGACGTCCCCGCTCGCGCTCCTCCTGTCCCGCTGAAGGGACTGACAACCCAGCCAGCCAATCGGAAAGCGAACTACACAGGCTTGGCCAATTCTGGGGGGATAGAGGCGGGCTTCCCGCTGCGCAGCCTACTAGCGTGAGTGACAACCAGATTATCCAACCAGATCAGAAGCTGAGCCAGGCCTGGCCAATCACCAAACCCAACATGAGGCGATGTTTCTGCGCCCCGCCTACAGCAGTGGCACGCAGGAAGAGAGAGCCAATCACGGAACGCGACAGAGAGCTACTTCCTTATGCCGCCCTTTCTCAGTGAATGACAACCACGCAAGCCAATGGAGATAGACAAAGTAACGTCTTCTACTGCTGACTGACAGTTAGGTCGACCAACCTCAGAGGGGAAAAGCAGTAGGCGGGGCTTTGCAGCCACCGAGGAAGGACGAGGGGCTGGAGCGGGACTGCTCGTCAGGGGGCGGCGACTCTGCGCCGGTTGCGTCGACGTGGACGGGGCGGAGGTGACGCGCCCGCCCGGCCCGTGGCTCCGCCTCCCCGCTTGAGCGGTAGGGCGCCTGCGCCGGCCACGGGTCTGCGGAACTCCCCGCCGCAGGGCCCCGGAGCCCGCCCGGCGAGAGGTGGGAAGCCCGGGGCAGGCCCTGGCGGCGTAGGTCCGCAGGCGGCCAGGACCCCGCTGCGGGGCCGGCTGCTGTGCCGGCCTAGGCCTGCCCCTGCCCCGCAGGGACCCGCCCGGGCTGCCCTGGCTAGGGCGACCAGAGGTCCCGTCTCCGTGGGGCGGTCCCGCGGCGGGGGCTCTTCGTAGAGCGGCGCCTATTGCCCCCCCGCCCCGTCCTGTTTTCCCGCCGTTGCGGTCGGGTGACCCTAGCTCGAGCCCGGCTTGGGCTGCGCCCCTCGTGTCGCTTCATGTTAAACCCAGGCCTGGGGGCGAGAGCCCTGCCCGCCAGCGAGGGAGCTGGTCCCTGCAACTCACTGCAGCTGCCCCCCGGGAGAGCTTGCTGCAGCCCTCCAGCATTGTGCTGCAGCCCTCCAGCAATTAAAGATTAATCTTTAATTAAAGATTGTCACGTGATGAAATCTCCAGGAATTCCTCCAACCAACGTTAACAGCCCTGCTGTGGCGGAGCAAGAACATGAGACAGTAACCAGCCCTGTACAGGTGTGTTATCCTACAACCCGCAAACAGCCGCCGTGGTGCAAGACAGAAACCACAGCACAGACCTCAGTTACAGTCCTGACCTTTGCACACAGTCCTGACTCATACTTAGACCCTTTGAGTGCAGGGGATTCTTACCCATGAACTACTTCCGTAAGCATTCAAGAAGCAGACGCCCTAGTAGTATGTGAATAGTAACTGCTGTATTTTAAAAGCAGTGAGTAAATATTTAATTACTGACAACCTATTAAGACAATGCTCCTGTGGTGATTTGACTCACTCTAGGGAAGGGTTCAGTCAAGCCTCTGGTCTGCTCATAAAGAGAAACAGATGCAGTTTTACTCGTTTGCAAGGAAAATTGTAAATTGTGATGTTCAAGTCATCACAGGTTTCAGAGTAACAGCCGTGTTAGTCTGTATTTGCAAAAAGAAAAGGAGTACTTGTGGCACCTTAGAGACTAACCAATTTATTTGAGCATGAGCTTTCGTGAGCGACAGCTCACTTCATCGGATGCATGCCGTGGAAACTGCAGCAGACTTTATATATATATACACAGAGAATATGAAACAATACCTCCTCCCACCCCACTGTCCTGCTGGTAATAGCTTATCTAAAGTGATCACTTTAGATAAGCTATTACCAGCAGGACAGTGGGGTGGGAGGAGGTATTGTTTCATATTCTCTGTGTATATATATAAAGTCTGCTGCAGTTTCCACGGCATGCATCCGATGAAGTGAGCTGTAGCTCACGAAAGCTCATGCTCAAATAAATTGGTTAGTCTCTAAGGTGCCACAAGTACTCCTTTTCTTTTTGCAAGTCATCACAGAAACCCCGAGTCCCCTTAAATTTGCTCTTTATTTTTATACGTTTAAAGCAGCCTGGACTTTATCTACATTTAGTATTTTTGTGCGTTACACATACATGGAAGAAGAAACATCCTTGGTTTGATTAACAACTGTTACACAATTCAGAATGTGATTTTGGACAAATTGCTCAGTCTCTGACTCAAGTTTATCCCTCTGTATAATGAATATAGTAATCGTTACCTCATGTAGATATTGCAAAGCTTCCTTAATTGAGAACAGAAGAATGGGCATACTGGTAGAATCTAGCCCCATATCCTGTCTTCTGACAGTGGCGGCTGCTGCCACATGCTTCAGATGGAATGAACAAAATGGGGTAGTTTTCAAGTGATCCATCCCCTGTCATCCAGTCTCAGCTTCTAGCAGTCAGAGGCTTAGGACACCCATAGCAAGGGGTTGCATCCCTGTACATCTTGGCTAATAGCCATTGATGGTGGACCTATCCTCCATGAACTTACCTAATTTGGAATTAATATTTTTATTCTAGTAAGGATCAGGGCATCCTTGTGTTATGCATTGTACAGACAAGTAACTCAAAATCAGTCCCTGCCTTGGAGCCACCACGCTCTGGGATTCGATGGCTCTAGGATTCTGACAAGATAAACAGCTTAACAACAGACAAATAGAGTTGGGTAACACTACAGAAATATATGCTTGCATAATTAATAGTCAGTGTAAAAAATGATAGCGCTAAAAACATTGAGATCCTCATTTCACATGGAAGCTGCTACAGCTATGCAAAGTGTTGTTACAAATAGGTGGAATTTTCATGTCATTTCCTGCAGGGAAGCACAGAAATCTTGCCGGGGGGGCCTTTTCTGTGGAGTACCACAGAATTCCCCCAGGAGTAATTCTAGGAATAGATCAATACCATACCCGTGTTAGGATTCCTTTTGTTCCTAATACACTTTGAAAACTCTTCACTGTCCTTAACTCTGCTAGCCCTTCTTGTGTCATGTTGCACAATTTTAGCTTCTGATATTTATCGCTATCAGTTTCTCCTTTTTTTTTTTAATAGCTGCTTTTATTTCCCCTATAAGGTTGTTTTTTTAATACCAGTTGAGCCTTCTCTCTCAGTTGTGGCATTTTGGGCAATTAGTAATGTATTCTTAAACAGTTCCCTATCATCATTCACATTTTTTCCTTTACATTTGCTCTCCTAGCTTCCATGGGAAGACAGATTAAAGAGACTGGAACTGTACAGCAGGGGAAAGAGACACCTGAGAGGGAGGAATATGAATAGTGTGGATAAAGTCAATAGGAAAATGTTATTTACCTCTTCACATAACAGAAGAACAAGATCACACAATGAAATCAATCGGCAGAAGGTTTAGAACAAACACAAGGAAGTATATTTTCACACAATGCACAGTCAACCTGTGGACCTCATTGCCAGGGCATGTTGTGAAGGCCAAAACTGTAACAGAGTTCAAAAAAGAACTAGATAAATTAATGGGTTATCAATGGCTTTTAACCAAGATGGTCAAGGATGCAATCTCATGCTCTGGGTATCCCTGGTCTCTGACAGATAGAAACTGGGACTGGAAGAGAGGGGATGGATCACTGGATGATTGCCTCTTCTGTTAGCTTCCTCTGAAGCACCTGGCACCAGCCACTGTCGGAAGATAGGATACTGGGCTAGATGGGCCTTTGGTCCGACCATTCTGACAGAATTCCCAACAAGGATAGTCTGTCCTCCTTGGATGGTTGGAAATCTCTTTGTGGGCGCAGTTGCTTGTCTTTTGGGTTGGGCTTTGTAGCCATCCAGGTCCCATACAATTCTTTATTCCATTAGATCAACCAGATCGTCAGCAATATTTTCTTTAGTTTCCATGCTAAGAACTTGATAATGATTGTACACTTCTACCTATGTGTAATTCCTCCTGGTCCTGTTCTGTCTGGTGGTTGCGGCCTGCTCATCCACATCTGCCGCTAGCAGTGCGGAATGCCACCTGGTCCTCTTGCGTCTGGTGGTAAACTGCCCACCACCCTCTCTGGTCTCCACACTCTAGTTCCTTAGTGGCTGGTTCCTTTCTTTCTTGAACCTGGGGTTGTGATGCTTTCTGAATCAGGTTGTCCAAGTACTCCTTAACCTCTCTGATGCTCTGTCATGTCTGTACTTTGTCCTTCCAGGCCACAAATCTTTTCTTCCAGTGCAGCCACCAGCTTGCACTTGGAGGAAATCCGTTCTGGCAGGAAAAACGTGACATCTGTCTACACTGGCAGGTTTCTGCGCAGTAAAGCAGCTTTCTGTGCTATAACTCCCAAGGCGCACACACTGCCAAGCCACTTAGTACGCAGAAACTGCGCAGTTGCAGCACTGTAAAAAAAACTACCCTGACGAGAGGCGTACAGCTTTCTGCGTTGGGACTAGAGCGCGTGGGGCCAGCGTAGACACCGTGGTGGATTACAGTGCTGCAATTGGCTTCTGAGAGGTGTCCCACAGTGCCTGTTCTCGCCCCTGTTCATCGGTTTGAACTCTACTGCCCTGCCCTCAGGCTGCCCAACCATCATCCCAACCCCGTAAATTCCTTTGGAATTTTGAAAGTCCCCTTCCTGTTTGCTCGGTGATGCGTGCAGTGGTCTCAGCGCATCTTTCCAGGTGACCATGCCTGCTCCATGCATCAAGCGATTCCCCTCTTGGAGCAATGCTGAGCTGCTGGACCTCATCAACATTGGGGAAGAGGAGGCTGTCCAGTTACAGCTGCGCTTCAGCTGTAGGAATTATGATACCTATGGACAGATTTCATGATGCATGACAGAAAAAGGCCATGACGGGGACACACTGCAGTGCAGGATCAAAGTGAAGGAGCTGTGGAACGCCTACCACAAGGCGTGGGAGGCAAACATCCACTCCAGTGCTGCGCCCATGAGCTGCCGGCTCTACAAAGAGCTGGGCACAATACTCGGCAGCAACCCCACCTCCACTGCGAAGGCCACTGAGATACCTGTGCCAGTCGAGAGTGGACCGAGCCAGGAGGAGGAAATCTTGGACGACGATGTGGAGGGGCACAGGGACCCAGAGGCAGAGGACGACTCGGAGGTCAGAGATGCATGCAGCCAGGAGCTCTTTTCTACCCCGGAGGAGGCTAGCGAGTCACAGCTGTCGGATCTTGGCAAAGCGCAAACAGGAGAGGAGGCCCCTGGACAGTGGATTTGATTTTGGGAATCGCTGAAGCGAGTTGTTGGGGGCAGGAGGGTTGCAGAAAGCAGGCTTGTGTCTGTATGATGCGTATACCACCACATGTCTAGTCTGAGTGGCGGAACAGGCTGTTGATTGACTCCCTCACTTCGCGGGAATCTGCCTCAGAAACCTCCAGGAAACGCTCACGGAGACACTGAGCAATCTGCTGCCGCAGGTTCTTTGGCAAAGCTTCTTTGTTTCTTGCCCCAATAACAGCAACTTTCCCGTGCCACTGTGCTGTCACGGGGGGGAGGACACCGAGGGGGCAAGGGGCACCGAGGGGGCAAGGAGAAGACCATTGCTGCACACAGGAGAGCCACATCGGGGCCAGGGCAGAAGCCACAGTCTTGGAGAAGACCCTCCCTTGATTCCCTGCTCACCCTCAGCCATGAGATGTCTTCCATAATGAACACAGCCTGAGGAAAATGTGGGGACAGGAATGATTTTCAGGGCCCCTCATACAGTGCTGGCTATCCCCAAGGTCCACGTGCCCAGTGTACAGTAGGGTCCGGGAACAGTGATTTACCCTGCCCCTGAGGCTACTCACCATTTTGGGGGTCTTGTGGCTCATGTCTGCTTGCCTGGGGTCAGCCAGTTAGTGACAGGTATGTGAATAGTGGCTGTGTTTTAAATCACTAAATCAGTGTTCTGTGTTTTGAAAACAATACTGCTTCTGTAAAATGTTGCATTTTGGCTTCACAGAGATGACCTTAGGATCCCAGCCTCCTTCTTTGTTATCGCCAGCTGAACGGCTGCGTGGAATTGGGAAGCAGCCACGAAGAACTAAGGAGGACTTCCTGCGTGATATTATGATGCACTCTGCGGCAGAAAAACAGGAATTGAAGGAGTGTCAGGACAGCGAGAAGAGGGACTGAAAGGAGAATGCAGCAAGCCAGAATGGAGCGGCTCTTAAACGTTACGGAGCGCCAAACAGACATGGTCCAACTGATACTAG